TGTTTGCATACAGCAGTTTGGTCACTGCTTTCCAGAAAAGGTATGAACTTGGAGGCTATCATCCCAGGGATTGCACACAAGTTAGAAAAAGAAAGTGGGACTTGGAAGTATTTACAAGCCATCACCTGCTAACTCCTAAAGGCAAAGAAGTTTGGCAATCAAGCATTTGCTGAAACACCCACTAATATTCACACTAATGAATGTCACAACCACCTGAAATGCCACCACTTACAGGAGTCACACACCTGGCATACACAACATTTTAATAGTTACCCCACAGCACCAGCCAAGTCTTTGGAAAACACAAAGCATTGCTTCCATTAAGACCAAAATGAGATGCCATATCCTTTTCCTGTAATGTAACAAGTAATCAAGTATCACTCAACACATGCAAGTAGTTAGGAAGGCAGTTCAAATTATTCCTTATATATACACTGGAGTCTCTACTCCATATACTCTGCAAAAACTTAGGCTTACCATGATGCTCACCTTCAAAACTACAACAAATAGTTTACTGTGTAGGCATCTCTTAATCTTCACGTAAAGAAGCTGGTTATCAGAGTGCACTATGGAAGATGCTGGGCTGACCGTGTTTCTACTGACTCAGCTGTTTCAAGTGATTCTCATGAAAGATAGATGCTGCTTATGTTGTTGTGACCTACTGAGTTTACCTTCTTTTGTTTTTGTGACCTAGAATTACAGAATCTTACATTCTTTTAATCTCATCTGAGAAATCTATGGGGAGGGAACAAGGAGCAAGGAAAGGTTTTTCTTGTTTTGCTTTTCTCCACAGTAGAGAACACAAAAGTTAGTAAAGAAAATCCAGTGATGTCTGGCATTATGGAAGTCTACGGGAATTTAAGGGACTTTGATAGGGCCAGGATTTCATGCTGCATTTTTCTTCCACAACTGCCACCACAAATACGCAAACAACTTCCCTCTGCTAGCACACTGGTATTTATTCAGCATGTATCCTTTATAAAAGGAGGAGACTGGATGTTTACTCTGATGAAGCTCAATGTTTAGTGGTTAAAAATTCAAGAAAACCTGAGGAAAGGTGATGAATCCTAAGAGGAAATCCAACACAGATTTTTAAACTCACATTCTATGTCCCATATGGTTTAATTACACCCTGGTGTTTTACACAAAATAATAACTTTCTTATAAATAGCTGATTTAACAATCAGTATTTCATTTTTAAGCTGGCTTTCCTTTTTTCTTGGGTGGACCTTTGTAGCCTTTGGCCTTTCTTCGCAAGCTTCTCCGATCTACAATGGGTACCTCGATTTCTGCTTCCTCAGAGCTGCTGTCAGCAGCCCGCTCCACTGCTGTCTGCATGTACTGATCCATCTGCTCAGCAGACTCTTCTGAGTGTTCTTCCAACTGGTTCTTCTGTCCTTCCTGTCCAGAAGGCTGCTGAGAAGAAACACCCTCAAGTTCAACCACTATCAAAGAGCTCTGACTCAAGGCAACAGGGGCCTCTTGTGAGTTGTGCCCTGCTTCCTCATTTTGATCTTCCAATAAGGAAGCTGGTTTAGGCGACACATTTTCAGAAACAGATTCCTCTGCTGCTTCAGTTACCGTAGAGTTGGGCAGGCCATTGTCAGAGTGCTCCTCCTTCAATGCCAAAGCAGCTGCATTTTCAGTGGTGGCCTTTTCAGATTCTTGCTGTTCTTCAGTGTTGTTCTCCTCCACTAATCTACTTTCTTCAGTCAGCATTTCTGAATCATTTGCATTTAAAACCTGTGGGGGGAGGGGAAGGGTGCCAAAACAACCAAAGGGCAATCACTTGAAGATACAAGAGCCTGAACAACTGCCCCTAGCTAGCAACCTCAGAGAATATTCTGGCATTCAGCAGTTTTTAATGCTCTATGTAAAGTCAAAAACCAGTCCTTTCCTCCTTTTTGCATAAGACTATTTTGCAAACTGCATTTGATATCTGGAGTTGCTCTCCTATTTTCAAATTCAAATTATTCAAAGGATTATTCAACTACAGTAAAAACATTCTGAAATTAATCCCAGGGGAAAAAACCCCACACGTTTTTTACTTTAGAGGTGTAGGATTATAATTTTGCTACTATATAACAATCTGCTTTTACATTATAAACTAAACACAGTAAAGTCTACGTTCTAGAAGGGTATTTTACCAGTAATTAATTGCTTGTACACTTAATCAGGACAGAATTACTAGACAAAACAAGAACGTGTCTTTTCACTCGTATCCAACTAATATTTTAGTGAGAAAGAGCTGTTTCATTAGGGCCAAGGGAAACCGCAGCAATGAATCTTTCTTTTTGGTATCACACGTATACATGCCCCACTTCTGCATATTAAAACTGAAATGTTAGCATATTCTGTTTATGGATTTACATAATCCGGCCTCATAATACCTTCTTCCAAGAACTTCATAAAGTGGTAGGGGCTACTTGCTATCTGTTACTTAACAAAAGAAAAAACGCAAGATATGTACACTCTGAAGGAAAGATGACTTCACATTTTGTTTCAATTCTCTCACCTCTGAGACAGTGTCTTCTGAAGGTTTTGCCGGAGACTCAAGGATTAATGGAACAAACAGCGTTAAGGATTCTTCTCCTTGACTCTCACACTGCAATTTTGATTCATCACTTAGAACTTCACTTGCTGTTTCCTCTTTATCAGTAAGTGAGGTCTTAGCAGTTTCTTCTGTTACCTCCCCATTAAGAGGTTCTGCTAGAGTTTCCTGAAAAAAATAATGTTTCTAAGTCAGGATTTTGCCCAGCCATTGTTCCCCAGCACTAGTGGGTGTATATGTGATCTCAATTTGAAGCTTAAACTAAGAAGCAGATAGCTTGGGTACCTAGAAATGTGTATTAAGAAGGCAGAGCTTAGTGCAGAGTAGCTAACTTAACCAACGTATTAGCTTGGCGTTGTCACTTGCACTAAATTTCTAACCATAGTGTACACTGTTAGGAGCCAAGCCAAGCAGATTTTACGCATCTCACAAGCATACATGCTGCAGTCATTCCTTGAACCCAACATAGTGTAACATCCACTTTCTCACTGATCAGTAAGAACACAAAACCCTGGAGGCATTGCTAGCACAAAGGGTACTCACAGATTTAAACATAAGCTGTTAACAAGTTGTAGATTAAAGTTGGATTTAATCATCAAAGCAGGCAACCTTTAAGCGGAGAGTGGAGAAGTAGAAAGAGCCAACAGTAGTCACTGAAGCATATCAGCTATTGGCTTCTTTGAAGAAATTTTTCAAAAAAATAAATTAGAGATACTGGATCAGATCTTTACCTTACTCCAGTTCCCTGGAGCGCCTGAGTACAAGAAACCAATTAAGAAAATTAGGTTGGTAGACAAGCTAGAAATTCACCTTACTGAAGATCCTATGAACTTCATTGTTCAAAATAAGTATAATGGAATATTGCCTGAAACTAATCCTATACTAGCCTCAGCTTCTCAGATATACTTCTCAACGAAGCATTAGTACGAAAATCAAAATGCTGAAAGTCATATGGAACATGGCAGCAAGGACCATGTTTAACAGAAACTGCAGTTATATTCCAAACTTATCTGCTATCGCCATCACATCCAGCTCACCTTCTCACTCTGTTTCTCAGGAGGTGATACATGTATCTCCACTTCTATTACACGCTGCTCCTCATTTTCAACAGTCTTATCCTCCTCAACAGCAGTCTTCTCAGCTGCTTCTACAAAGTCTTCAGAGCTTTCAGGTGTGTAGCCAGAAAGTTCCAGCCTGCAGCAGGTATTTAGATATATCCTTTAATCTTTTATATTAATACATAATTTTGGTAATCTCAGCAGGGAAATTCTTTCATGACCAATTATAAAGTGCTGTATCACATGCTTGCCATACGAAATCAGAATCCAGAAAAGTAAATACATCTAAAAATGGCTAACTCCTCATTAGGAAAAAAAAAAAAAATCAACTAGGAAAAATTGCTTTGGTAATTACAAAATGAAGACATCTATCTCACTTTCATTTTATGGGAATAAAAGTTAGAAATTTGTTTATTATTTTAAAATTAGAAAGCAGTAATCCATTACATATCTAGAAGCCACAAAGAGGTGAGAAAGGAAGAAACTTCTCCCACCCCTACTGTAGAAACAGTTTAAAATTATGGAGTTATAAAAGCAAATATGTTTGTATAATCATTGAATATACATATATGACAAATACCATGACCAGAAAAGACTTCAAGGCAATAAACACATCATGGCTGAAGAAGATTCAATAAACTAGAGATTAAATTAGCATATAGCTAAAAATGAAGCTCTGATGCACCTGATGGATAGTAACACTACCTCAAATATTCAGTTCCCATTTTTGAGATGGTAAAACTTAGATGAACTGGAAGTACTACATACAAGCAAAGAAAAAAAAACATGCAATAGAATTGCAGGAGGCTGCTTCACAATCTCATAGTAAAGGCAGTGCTGGAGGGTTTTATCCCAGGTTCCAGTCTTGAGATGAAGGCACTACATAGGAGAAAGTCCCTGACAGAAGACTCTGCTGCATTTGCTAAAATGCACAGAAGCAGGGAACCAAGATGGTATCATGCCCTGTTGCCATCAGGATTCCCCTTAGTTCTGCTCACAAACACCATGTTACAGATCTTGTTCAAAGGAGCAGTGGCATCTCATGGACTTCATTTTGCAAAATCCAAATCCAAAATTCGGGAACAGGCTAGTCCTCTAGCCAATTAGTAGTAGTAACAGAGCAAAGTATTTCTCAACCTGTGGCAGCATCAAACCATGCCATTTGGCCTGTCTGAACCAGCTCAGGGAAGCGCACTGACAGTGCAGGACAGCAGTGCCTTATCTCTACAGTTCCACAACTTAAATACAGAAATTAGACTGTATCTAGATGAAGACCTCAGCTTCACATGAAGAAAAAAAAAAAAAAAAAATCAAAAACAAAACTAATTTTGTTTAAAAGAAACCTAATGGAACAAGTTTGACAGATTTCCTAGAAAATAATTAGGTTACCTTCAGTTTTTCAAGAGGTTTTTCAGGTTGCAGTGGGTTTATGTGGAAGAGAATAAGAGAGGGAGAGACACACACAAGGGGTGGGGGTGGGGGCAGTGTGTGTCTATGAACACACGAAGGGAGAGGAATGAGCAATTACTTTATTTGTTTAAAATAGCCACAGTTCTGCTTTCTGAATGGAAATCAGTGCAAATTAGTACTTCAGGCCCTGTCTCATATGAATTGTTATGGCACATAAGTAGTACAATTCTTCACATCCCACTGGACAATCGTTAACAGGGTAACATCCTTTAAACTGGAAATGACTTTTTTATTTTTCAGGATGTAAGTTTGGATCTGTTGGTTTTAAATCAGAATTTGTCTAAACAAAAGGCTTTACTTTGAAAATGGGTGGCTATCTATAACTCTTTTGTTATTAAGTGACAAGCAGTAACCAGCTCCCGAACTAAACAGTCAGACTTTATTTTACTGCAATACACCACCATAACAAGAGGTCAGGAAGGAACACATCTCCAAAGACCACATGTAGCATTGTGGATACAAGTCCAGTTACATTACCACAAGAAACTATGCTGTATGAATACCAATGTTTTTACCTTCATGCAGACTCAGTTATAAGAGAACACCCTCAGCCCTCACTGTTTTCTTAGTGTTATTTCCAGTACCTGCTGAGCTTTCAGGGATACCACATTTTGGTACAATCACTCTTCAGGTGATGTCTCAATTTTCTTTCTCACATCAAGCTTTATTTTTAGCGATTTTAAAATCAAGCAAGTAAAGTAGGAAGAAAGCAGAAGAAATCACAAGCAGCAACCTGTGAGACACTGATGTAGGTTGGGACTGCCCAAGCAACAAAATAAGAAATAAGTAAAATACAGGCTCCTCTACCTGCTTTCTAACACACGAACAGCATTTTCCTCATCTTCTTGGAAAGTTTCAAATGGAGCCTCCTGGCTTTTTTTTCCTATCCTGGGACGTTTTAAATGACTGCCTCGCATCCAAGTTGAAACAGGAGTTGTGTTAGGGTCTTAGGAAAAAAACCAAAACAAAACAAACATGCAACACAGAACAGCAAATGAAAGTGAACAAATGCAGTCTAAGATCTCCATATAATTTTTCCCCCCAATATTTCATTAAAGAAACGGAGTGCAAGTAGAACAGCATTTCATTGTGGTGCTTTTATTCTGAATACACATACATAAGATCTTTACCATAGAATCACAAAATGGTAGGACTTGGAAAGGACCTCGCTAAAGCAGGTTCACCTAGAGCAGGTTGCACGGAATCATGTCCAGACGGGTTTTGAATATCTCCAGAGGAGACTCCACAGCCTCCCTGGGCAGCCTGTTCCAGTGCTCTGTCACCCTCAGAGTAAAGAGGTTCCTCCTCATGTTCAGGCAGAACTTCCTGTGCTCCAGTTTGTGCCCGTTGCCCCTTGTCCTGTTGCTGGGCACCACTGAGAAGAGACTGGCCCCATCCTCTCGACACCTGCCCTTTAGATATTTGTGTTGATAAGGTCCCCTCTCTGCCTTCTCTTCTCCAGCCTAAAGAGCCCCAGGTCTCTCAGCTTTTCCTCATAAGAGAGATGCTCCAGCCCCTTCATCTTAGTAGCCCTCCACTGGACTCTCTCCAGTAGTTCCCTGTCCCTCTTGAACTGGGGGGCCCAGA